TGGGAGGAGACTACCGTACCATCGCCCAACCAAAAACTCTCTCCAAAATGACCAGCAATTAGGGGTGTAACTAGGCTAGGTTAGACTTTGACTTAAATAGGCAAGACTTATGTAAAAAGACATTGAGTCTAGCCTGGCCCAAATTACAAGTCTGACCTGATCTATATTTTAAAAATAAAAGTCTTGGCTTAGGCCGTCTGTTAGCCTATTTAAGCATATTAAACATTCAACAATTAAAAGAATAATTAAAATAATATTATTTTATTATTCAAAATTATTAAAATAATAATTTTATTTAAAAGAAATAATATGATACAGACCGGCTTGTAAGCTTATAGGCCCGACATGTACAAAAAACCTATGGCCTGTTTTCTACTTATAATTTTTAAAAGCCTAGGCCTGTTCTATTTTCTTATTTGCAATAGACCATGTCAGACCTAATATAGGCTAGGTCGTAAGCCTCTGTAAGCCGGCCTAGCCCATTTACATCCCCTACAAACAAAATTGAATAAAAAAATTAGGATGATTTCCTCATGTTTACCAGTCTTGCTGTATTTTTTTGTTATAAATAATTAGAGTATGATCCGTGAAACAAGTTAACCTCCTGTATTTTGCCACCAAAACATTTTTGCCAACAATCTTACATCATATGCGGATCAATTGTCTTCAAGATAGCTATTTGTATCTTAAACGATTTACGCGGCAGTAACCTATTATAAGTGTTCTTTACGTAGTTAGAAATCAAATATGCGAGTTCAAATTTCATAATGCAATTTGTTTCCCTTCTTCTTTCTCGTGCGATTTCATTTAGACTTTTTTTAGGATTATTTTAAAGGCGGATCTTTCCTTAAACAAAAAGGAAAACAAACTCTTTCTATTTATGGAAGCATTTTTAGAAGGTCGACTGAAAATAGAAATATACATAAATCAAAACGGGTGTAATTAATATTTCAACTTAGTTATTCTCATTCAAGGCAAATAACATTAGTAAAACAAATTGATTTAGTCGTCCAATTAACTTGCTGCACTACTAGAAATGAGCATAACATCCCTAAATTGGGGTACCTATCACACCTCGCATCCAATTTTTCAATATTAAACCCTAAAATTATTAATGTCACAAACCTTCAATGTTTTTATAATACGAGACGACATATATAGAATTCTGGTCATAAAGTTTAGAGTAAATACTGGGTCTTCAATAAAAAATACGGAATAAATTTTAATTTCTTAAAAAAAAATTTATATTAGTCCTTTTTGAGGGACTAATATGAATCTTTTTTGAATTTATAAGAAACCACAAGTTCAAAAAATTAAAATTTCAGAGGGATCACAAATCAACTTTTTTCCCTAAAAAATTAAAATAGGTTCCATATTTTTTGTTATTACCCAAAAAGATATTTACTCTAAAGTTCAGTAAGAGAAGCAAGCACTTGCTCTATTACTTGTGACTTATTGAACAAGAAAGAAGATTATAGGAAATTTTGAATTAAAGTGGCCGAAGTAAAATTTGTTTATTACAATTAATATACAATGTTAAGGGGATGTTACCTATATTTACATTCAGAAAGAAGTTAAGGCTTATCACATGCCTTATCAAAAACTTACAATAACACTTTTTTTTTGGCAGAGCTAAAAATTATATATATTTTTTCGGGGGGGGGGGGGACAATTATATTAATTTTACTTCTTTTAAATGTTTCGCATATAAATTTTTGGGAAAAATTACTTCTACACATCCTTCGATATGTGTGTCACCTTTTTTTTTTTTTTTTAGGTGATGGAGTTCACAAGTTTATCTCTATGACATGAAATAACTTATTTCCTTTAACATGAAATTAATAAAATCCTAAAATTTTATACGTCTTAATTACAAATTTTTAAGTAAATTTAATTTTTTTAATAGGTGCTTTCTGCCTTAGGGAGCTATGTCACCGCTAGCCCCTTAAATATTCTTTATCAACTTTAACTTATATTATACGTCTTACTCCTGTTTATTTATCAAATTTTAGTTACTCTCAAGGGAGCAAAAGGAATTCATGGCGAGATACAATTACTAATGAGATAAGTTACACCAATCATAGTAAATAGTTTTGACATTACGTCTCAACCTAAAATATTAAGGCATTGCGTTAATAGGTCCTCCCATTTATATAATTTTTACTTAGCCTATTACCAATCATTGAGAAACTCCATCACACATGAATATCTAACAATCTCCTTCTCAAATGTGAAATCCCATATTGATAATCACTAGGGCAGCCTAAGCCCAACTCAACTCTGATACTACTATCAAACGAGCTGGGGAAAGTCTTTGGCGGGGGATCACCATATGTATGCCAAGCTACACCAACTGTAGCAAGTGTATCCAACATCATGTCTCAAACCAAAACTTTAATGCATTGAATTCATGGGTCCTCTCATTTATATGAACTTTACTTAACCCATTAATAACTAATGTGGGACTCCATCACTCTTGATTTATCCCAACACATTTCAATTCAAAAACTTAAATTATTAGATGAAATTAATGTTATTAAATCCGACTCGACTCGGTCAGGATGACCCAAGAATTGTTGGACCGGTACCTAACTGGTTCGAGTTAGCCAATGGATCAGCCATGCAACAGAACCAATGAAAATCGATTTGACCCGGCCGATTTTTATCAAAATCAGTGACCCAGTCGATTTTTGTTAACCCAGTCGGGTCATGCATATTTTTTTTTATTAAAAAAATTAAAGCGAAACAACAACGTTTTTTAAGCAACAACCAAGTGCAAAATCTCTAAGTTGCAATGCACCATTTTCAATTTACTAATACACATAAGAATCACAAAAAAGAAAAAAAAAACACGATTAAACATTTAAAGTTAAGAATAATAAAATTGAAATGAAAATGAAAATCCTATGTAAGTTGGATTGAAATTTGAAAGTATAGAAGACAATAGGGAAAGGTAATGTGAAATATGAAAAATGATACTAATTTTTTTCTTTATTACTCACCCAATGGATAATTATTTTCTTCAGTAATTAGGGAGGGCCTAAGCGCGAAAAATAAAATATAAAGATGTAAGAGTTCTATAATTATGAAAAACAAGTAAATCTCCATCATATAAACGGATCATTTCAGGAGGAGGCTGGTTAACCATATACTATTGCATTTGTTGAAAAACAAGTAAATCTCCATACATAATTAACGTTAAAGATGATAATATCCTCTTTCATGCCAAGACCTTGTTTCGTATACCAATTATTGCATTTGTTGTCAGACATAATTTTGGATAATTATGAATAGACTTAATTATGTATTTTGCTAAACAATATATAGAAGTTACTATAGAGTAATTTTGAATTTTGAATATAAATTTATATACATCTATCTGGCCATGCGATTCAATCAGTAATCCACTGGTTGAACCAGTGACCCACTGACTTGATACCCTAACCGAGTCGATGATTGATTCGAGTTTATTAGCGTTGTAAAACTACGTTAATAATTTTATATTATATTTTTCTAATACTCTTCCTCATACGAGAGTCCATTGATTTTGAAAGGTGGATAGTGCACAGGCCTAACTCACCTACCTGTGCAAAAAAATTAAATAATATTTAGTTATTTATTATTAGAATGGGGTTGTAAGAATCAAACTCCTAACCACTTGGCTACGGAGGCTCTGATACCATCCATGTAAAGAATTATTTCAACAAAAAAACTTAAGTTATTAGGTGAAACTATATTAATAATTTTATATTATATTTCTCTTCCGGTAATATTCACAAATTGTCTGCCAAGAAAAAAATTGTTAACAAAACTTATTTTTATTGACGTAATACTTCAATATTTTTCGGAGAATATCGTAAGTTCTAATATGTGGATCTTACGCAGCTGGTGCATTATGTACACGGTAGAAGCTAATTTGATCGTACTAGCTTACGCTCAATTGCTCAATAATGCTCAATGCATTTTTGACAAGGTGATGAATATTGTGAGCAAATTGCTCTTACCACTTACCAGCTGAAGATATTGGGTAAATGTGGATGTCTTTAAACTCACCAAATTTAATACTGCTTTTTTTCCAATTTAGGACATGATGACTTTGGGCTTACCAAACTTTCTTTTGCATTGATTAATGAATATATGATTTGTTAATTTTCATCTACTACCTGAGTTCTTCAAGTTAAAAGCTGGATGAGCCAAAAGGGGCAAAGTTCAACTGATGGAAAATTAATTGCATTTACATCCAAATATAGGTGATCAATATTATCCCCCAATCAATAAGGTACTTTTACGTATCGTTTCAATTACAATTACAATGACAATATTAGTTTTTTTAGCAGAACTACAAAAGTTTAACATATTAATTGCAATAATCCAAGAAAGTATATTTTAGGATAAATATACAAATGTACTACCCTACATCGCAGAAAAAAAAAATACACGTACATCACATACGTATTGTTCAAAAATATTGTGCTACCATATGGAAAGGAACATTTTGGAAGGATTTTATTGTGCATAAAATAATATTTTAAGATTGGTAATTCTTCAACAACTTTATTGATATTGCTTAGAAAATGCTTCATTTTAAGGTCACAATTATCTAATGTGGGAAATCAGTCAGTCTTTGATCAAGGCGAGATGTCCCTTTAATAAAAACTATACGGTAACCAAACAAGTGGATTTGATTTTGGTTCTTTGGTTTATACAATAATTGAGGGAATTTGAAAACACAGGCAATAGGGTTTTTTTTTCTTTCTTTCTTTTTTTTTTTTCTTTTTTTCTTGTCGAAAGAAAAAGAGGAATTTGATAAAGAAGTTCAAGGGCCAATGACATAATTAAGGTCTATTTATGCACATGTACATGGGCACAATCTGTCGTGTGAAGACAACAAAAGTGACTTCCCATCCACAACCCTAAACCAACCCCTCCCCTCCACTTCCTTATATATCTTGTTCAAGACTTCTTCTCTCTGTTGTGCTTCATGTTCAAGATTTCTTTCTGCAAAATATCGGTACCCTGAGCCTGCATCCACAGTAACACCACCCTGTCATGGAGGATTCTTCAGCATGTGAAGACACCAAGAGTTGTCCTAGAGGTCACTGGAGACCCGCTGAGGATGAAAAGCTCCGGCAACTTGTTGAACAATATGGTGCTCAGAATTGGAATTCAATTGCTGAGAAGCTCCAAGGAAGATCAGGTATAAATTAATCTCATCTAATTAAATTGGATTATCAATTGAAGGAGATCTAATTCAAAGGTTTAATTAGCTTGAATTAATAATATTGCACCTACAAGATTCCTTGAGCATGTTTATCTGTTTAGTAGATACATATATATTTCATTTCATTATCATCGATCTATTATCTATATATTACATAAAAATTATCATGTCTGTATGATTAATTAACCTTAAACTTATGTTCATGTGTTGTTCCTTTTTATTGCAGGGAAAAGTTGTCGGCTAAGGTGGTTCAACCAACTTGACCCCAGAATTAACAGAAGACCATTCTCGGAAGAGGAAGAAGAGAAGCTACTTGCAGCTCATCGCATTCATGGGAACAAGTGGGCCCTCATAGCGAGGCTTTTCCCTGGTCGAACAGATAATGCAGTGAAAAATCACTGGCATGTTATAATGGCAAGGAAACAAAGAGAACAATCAAAGCTAAGTGGGAAGAGAAGCTTTCCAGATATTTATAATGACCATTCCAACAGTTCCTCGTACATTAACTTCCCCGAAAAGAGACCACAACCTCAAGACTCAGTATTTAGGACGAGAATTGGGTTAGAGAATACGAGATTCTTTGACTTCCGGAACCTGAATAAAGTTGCTGATACTCCTTCTAGTTCTTTGGCCTCTTGGAATTTTGCATCAGTGCCAACCACCACAAACAGTTCTTCTGTAGCAGATTCAGTTAGAAAAGGAGGGAGAGAATATGTTAATAGTCCTTATAGAATTTATCCAAATCCAACAACATCCCTAGGAAGCTTTCGCGGTTCCACTACCCCATTCTCTCTTCCAAACTACAAGAGGGTTGTTCCTAGTCCTTTTGGATTCGTCGGTTCTTCTGAAGATGCAAGGATGAAGAGGGACTTGATGAGTTTCTGTGATAACTCATCCACATTAAAGAATTTGAGGGCTTCTATGGAGAAAGAGAAAGCAGATAATGAGTCCAATGTTGAGCACAAAGAAGTTCCTTTCATTGATTTTCTTGGTGTGGGTGTCTCTTCATCATAATAACTAGAGAGTATTTAATTATTTAATTTCCTATAAATAAATATTTATAGTTTAGTTTACTAGTTTTTTACTCCATTATAATTTATAGCAATTAGCAACTAGCAATTTTAGTCTATCTGGACGAGGCTCGCATTTATCATGAGGCCTTTCAATTCAGATGTAAGGATGCTGCCTCATTTTCTTCTATAGGTTGTGATTAGAGTGAAAATTTTCCAACTTTTTTTGTGCTTATCTTTTTTTCTTGTCCCATCTGAGGGATAAGGCTTTCAGTGTGGATCAGATGAAGGGTAGTAACTCGTGTGAGGTACATGTACATTTGTTGCGCGTCGCTTGGAGCTCTCTATGAGAATGTAGAAAGTACAGAAGGTATTGAAAATTTGCAGACATTGACTGAAATTTCTTGTTTCTATGTAATGGCAACTTCGATTGTAAGCTCACACGAAGAACAAAAGTGGTGCCAGATACAGCTGTCTTTAATGCCAAATTAGCATATAGTACTAATTGGAAGGTTGTAAATGTAGGTGTAACTTCTTAATGAATATAATGCATGCATTAATTCTTCCCTGCTAAAAAATTCATGAGATTGAAGCCAACTTTGTCCTTCCTCCATGTGTTTATGTAGAGTCTCATATTTAGAAAGTAAGTTTATAACCTATGAGATTAAATTGTATAGTAAAGATTGTTTACGATGCTTTATTTGAAAATTTTCTGGACCACTATAGGGTTAGGTTGATTGATTGATTACGGAATGGTTTTAAAATGATATCATTTTAAATGCATTAAATCCTTGGGAGATTTTTGGCTATCACTACACACGGTTTGAAATTGCTAAACTAAGGTACATATCTCAAAAATTATTATTATTATTATTATTATTATAGAATGCACAGATCTATTGAGCTTAGAGATAACAACGTGACATTAATTTGAACCTGAGTCAAAACCTGCGACACTGTGGCGTGCTTATTAATTTTACCTGTGGACAAGACATGATATAAATAATCCGTCAATCTCAAAGTATGATTATTATGCAGATTAACATGACATGATAAGATATAAATATATTAAATGTTGTTTTTACCAACGTTATATCGACACAAATAACATGTAAGAAAACTAATGCAGATCAATTTTGTATTTGCAAATTGACAAGCAACATGATACAAAATTTTTCATGTTAGTTTTACGAGCACGAATATAACACAAATTTAAAAATAAGTCGACCAGAATATAAATTTCTCGTATCATGTTCATGTTGTGTTAACAAGTTGTGTTGAAAATTGCCACCCTTAATTAAGCTTTCAAAATTTTCATAGATTTTTTAATGAGCTAAAATATCTTTGATTTGTATCATTTTACTATGATTTCTAAACACTCAATAATGTGTAATTAATGTATGACTGACTTAGAATTCAGAATATACAATCCGAGCCAAAAATTGGTTTGGATTGATTTTTGTGTGTAGAAACTCTACTTAATTATCACAATTAAGCACACAGTTATTAAATTCGAACGTGGGATTAGTTTTTCGGTAAAATATGGAATTTCCTAACGATGTTTAGGTAGAGATAGATATAAAGTAATTCAAAAGAAAAGAATCAAATCCTTAGCTCTATTTTTTACAGGAATTTATTTTATTTATCATATTACAAAATAGTTTTCACATCACTCTTTTTTAATATTTTCCCCTTTTTTCCTCCTCAAATCCAAGATAAATTAATCATTATTTATGATTAAAATCTGTGAAGCAATTTAACTTCGTTGCCACCACCTCCCCCTCCCCCCAAAATCCCAACCCCCAAGCATACATACGAAGTGAACAAACAAACCACTCCCATATGATCAATTAAATTTGAATAAAGTACAATATATAATTAAATGATTTTAAGCAGGATCTCGGTGGGCAGTACCCCATATATACTACGGATCCTCTGAACTTGCAACTGCCCATATATTTTTTTCCATTCTTGACCGTATTGAAACTTCATATTCTGACGTAAAATGGTCATTGGAATCAAACAATGACGTCAAAACTGTCAATTTGGACATATGCCAATAAAATGCAAAGACAGTGGAGGAGGGGGAGAGTGAAAAAAGAAATATGTATGTAGACCTCGGAATAATGCGGACAATAAGTTTTCATCGGGTGTATAAAAACTAAAAGTCAAAACCACATAAAAAATATGTATCATTTTAAAGGATGTAAAATTGTGTTATTTGAAATAAGAGAAAGAAATAAATAAAAAAGAAGAGATAATGGACAAAAAATATAAAAGTGTAGGTTTCACCTCTTTGTAAATGTAAAAGAATATAAATTATGTCATTTAAAACGACAAACATTTTTTCCTTTAGCAAAATATCAATAAGTTTTTGTTTTAGTACAAAAGGTATTAGTAATTGATGTGAATATACATGGAGTTAGAGCTCGTATGGATAGTTTTTTTTCTTTCTCATAAGTTATTTTTGTTTAAAGTTATTTTCACTATAAACGCTTCTAATAAAAAAAAAAGTAAAAGAAAAATTAAAATTTTTGACTTGAAAAAAATAGAAAACAAAAGTTAAATGTTTTTTAAAATTAATTTTTTTTTCAACCTAAACCAATTTTATTGTTTGCTGTGAGTCATATATATATATATATATATATATATATATATATATATATATATATATATATATATAGCTTATCGTTTCTGAAGTTGCTTGAGATAATTTTATCTCCGGCTACTAAATCATAACCATTCAAAGGTAAATCAATTGATTTAAAGAAATAAATAAATAAAACGACGTAGTTTTGTGGTAGCCGGAGATAAACTTATCTCAAGCTGCTTGAGAAATATTTTTCCCATATATATATATGTGTGTGTGTGTGTGTGTGTGTGTGTGTGTGTGTGTGTATAGGTAGAATCTTTTGATATCAGTGTCAAATTTAAAATTTGACACCTCATCTAAGAGCCATTAGATCAAAAAAGATCAATGGTGTCACATGCTTACAAATCAGAGTCTTTGATCTTTTTTGATCTAACGGCTCTTAGATGTGAAATTTGACACTAGTGTCAAAAGATTCTACCTTATATATATATATAGAAAAAAATTTCTCATGTCGTAGGAGAGTTGTTTTCTCCTACTAGTGACCCTTCGAATTTCGTGCAATATTTTTTTTACTTTTTTATTTTTTGAAGAGATTTGGGGTCCAGATAAGATGTGTCTACGACGTGAGAAAATTTTCTCCTACTACCGCATGAGAAAATCGAAACCCATATATATATATATATGTTAAAATTATTTCAACGGTCGAAGACCCCTTTGCATGCCATTGGATTGTCAGATTTAGTGTGACACTCAACAAAGCACCAACACGTTCTTTTTTTCAAAATGTGCGTGTCGGACACATGTCGAATACCGACACGTGGTTTGCAAATAAGTTATCTGCAGTAAACTTAATATGACAACATTTTGGGACACGTGGTCAGCGCTCCGACACATTTTTTTTTACTTCTTAATTTTATTTTATTAACTAAAAATAAAAAAAAAATATAAATTAATTTTTTTTTATATGAAATTTACATGATAAATTACAAGGTACAAAAAATTATTTTTGTTTATATTTATGTTATGAAATTTGAATATTTGATTGGTTATATAACTTATTATAGGCTGTTATATGTATTAAATATAAATTATTATTTAGTATCAAAATATAACATTTTTTAGAATTAACGTGTCGACATACATATCGTGTCGTGTTTCGTGTCAATGTCAGTAGATGCTGATTCAATAGATCAAGTGCAATAGTCTGTTTATTATGCGTTTACAATGGGTGCGTAATTTCCAAATAAAGTAAGATTTTAAATTATTCTTTCTTATTTTATGCAGCTTTTTCTTTATCGCTATTTCACTCAATTATCTGACATCCAAAAAAGCAGAGCATTTATTTATTTTTCTACTTGTCATTCCAAATACTTACTTATAAAGAAATGCTACATGCACCTCTTTATAGCACACCCTTAATTAATACCTTATTTTCACCATTGATATAATTATGATTAAATAATAAATCTTTTTATATATGAGAAGATGTGTACGTACGTACGTACTAAAAACTAGATGCGTACGCGTATGTGAATTGTAGAAACTGAGGTGTCAAATAGTATTGCTTTTCTTTTGATCCTTATTTATCCCGAAGAAAATCTTACACATTTACATCAAACAGGTGAAATGGGGGGAGGATTAATATTGGAAGAACAGAAAGCACAAGCTAAAAATTTATTGTCATACGGGGGAAATGTTAAGAGAATATAGGAGTTGAAGCATAATCTTTGCAACTTGATCTCATTTAAATCGTTCTCTCCAAAAACAAAGTGAATATGAAATTGATGAAAAACTTTACACCATATAATTAACCAGAATAATATTTCTGCAGTTACCGCAGATAAATTATCTGCATTTATTCGCAAACGACATTTTTTTGTGATTGAAAAATTAAATAATTAAAATTATAAAGACTATAATAACATTGAAATAAATTAATATTATAAAAACACCATGATTTTTGCCCCAAAATAATGTCATATTAAGTTTACTGCAGATAACTTATCTGCAAAGCGAACCCATAATTAAAAAAAACAATAAAATTTGAAAATGATCAACAATAAAATTACCTTAACTTAAAAAAATAACAATAATTTCTTTTTTAATAAAATGATCAACAAATGAAAAATTGTTGGGTCATCCCACCAATGTTTTCACATAAAAGTTTGGATAGGATTAGACACCGGTATTACATCAGGGTCAAGCTGACCCTTCAACTTCTTTAAGGATTTCTGGGAGGGTGATACACTTACAGTTGACCCATTGCACATAACCAAACTATTAATTAAAGAAGTCCAGAGTCAACAAGAATTATAGTCCAATAAGTATGGCCTAATTATTAAAAGAAATAATAATTTGAAATATAATAAATTACGATCAAATCCACGTTCAAATGAAGCAACAAATATGATTGTGATTTGATTAACAAGAAAAGGAAAGCAACACATTTGGCATGATTCGAGATCTAAGATTTATGACTTGTTTTGAATGATTTAATTATAATATTTATTTATTTTTAGAAGTTAATTACCGTTATATTTATTTTTAGGAATTTTTCTAATTTTTAGATTTAAGATTTGAAATTTTGGATCAATTTATAATTAGTCTATAAAAGGGTGCTTATGACCCTTCTTGTAGGTGAAATTTTGTTACTTTGTTAATAGAAATTAGAAATTGAGAACAGGATGGTTACTCTTTTATCGTATCCCAACTTTCTGTTTAGTCACTTTTCTATGTGCTTTCGGCATCATTTGGTATT